TGCTTCATAGTCTCCTAGAGAGGTCTGCTTCATAGTCTCCTAGAGAGTTCAGAGGTCAGCAGGTTACCTGTAACTCAGGAACTGACAGCACCGACTCCTCTGAAGCCGATGACATCACTTCCTCCTCATCTTCATCCTGCGTGAGGTCATCAAAATCCTCCTCTTCGTCCTCGCCCGGTCGGTCCTGATCTTCATCCTTTTCCTTCTCTCCATCCTCATCCCTCTCTCCTCCTCCCCCCCCGTCCTCCATCTGTCCCTCCTCCTCCTCCTCCTCCTCCCCCTCCCCCTCTCCTCCCCCGCCTGCTTCCTCTTCTCCACCGCCTCCTCCTGCACCTCCCACATCTCTCCCCTCGTCCTCCTCTCCACCAGTGTTTTCTCCTCCGTTCAAACTGGCCACACCCAGAGCAGTCCAGTTCTCCTCCTCCTCCTCCTCCTCCTCCTCGTCTCCTGCACAGGACGACGGAGGACTCAGTGTTGATGTTGAAGCTGAACTCTCCTCCCCCACCTGTCTCTCCTCCAGTGGCCTTGTGGACGTCTGCTCCGCTTCCTTTTGCTCCTCTTTGATTGGTCTGTAGATCTCTTGCCCCAGAGCGTGCTGGGAGTTCACAGTGGGCGGAGCCTTCACCATCTGAAGTAGGAAGTACCCCGGCTTCACGCCGTCAGTGGAGCAAAGCATCGTGGGATTTGCGGTGTCCGGGTGGGCCAGGGAGGGGAGGGGGAGGAGGAGGGGCGTCCTCCGACCAATAGGAAGGCAGGACTGGATAATGTCTACACACACTGGGTGGGCGGGGACTGCATGCACAGCAGCCAATAGGGCGGCCCCAGAGTCAGGAGGCGGAGCAACAGCAGGGGAGCCAGAGAGTAACGTCACACCTGGAGGAGGAAGGGCGAGGAAGCCGATTGGCTGCACGTCCACCTGTCTGTCTGCTGCTGTCTTCGACTGTCTCGCTGTCTGCCCGTCCACCGGCGAGTCCACCGCCTGTCTGTCTGCCGGGGCTTTGGCGAGCGGCAGCAGAGATGCATTGTGGGCCAAAGTGAAGAGACGTCTGTGTGGGGGTGGAGGCAGATGGGCCGACTTCTTGAGCCAGTGGGGGTGGAGCCTCAGGGTGCATCCAACGGGGAGGGAGGGGGGGTAACAGGTGGAGGTGTGTCGGGTCTTCTGGATGATCAGCTGACTGTTCTGCAGGTGAGAACCAAAAGAGAACCACAGTTAGTAAAGTCTACGGAGACTGTAGAACTGAAAACTATTCTGTCATTTTTCCAAACAAGTTGCTCTCATTCCCACAATTTTTACTCTTCATTCACCATTTTTGGTCAAAACGTAGGAAACGTTGTGCCGGTCGCAGACACGTATCTCTGGAATCCAACAGACTTACACATTTAGCTGAGGGAGCCTGAAAGCACCATGAACTCCAACCAACTGCTCCATTAGACTCCATGTTAAATCTGACCACTAATTTCTCAAAGAAAGCAGACAGTACCAGTTTACATCCTCTGAAACAGAGGGTCAAAACAACTCTCTGGTGTTGACCTGTCAATCAGTGTGTAGCGACGCTCTAAAGCATCCCGTGCTTTATGGTCTGTTTGACTCTAAATGGACCATAATGTACTAAATGAACATCATGCTGTATTGAAGAAGACTTGAAACTAGAGATTGAGACCATAAACTCATGTTTACAATGTTTACTGAGGTAATAAATCAAGAGAGAAGTAGAGTCATTTTCTCATAGACTTCTATACAACCAGAGGAGTCGCCCCCTGGTCGACACCAGAGAGAATGCAGCTTTAACACTTGAATTAGAATTAGTCCGTCCAACCTTGAGCCAGTTGGGCATGTTGGTGGTGTTTCTGTCCACCGGGGGGCACCGGTCTCCAGGCTCAACTCTGCTGCAGGCGAGCGGCAGCGGGGGGGCAAACGTCTGCGTCAGAAAAGTCTGAAAAAACATGACGAGAAGACAAAACTTTTAACCCCAACTGTCCGACTGCAGAGGACATGGTCACAGCTGCTGCTGATGTCAGTCAGTGTGTGTGATGATGTCACAGTGATGTCACCTTGATGACGTTGCCGTGTGGTGCTCTTGGGCCGCTCATCTCTCTGATGTGTTTCCTGAAGTTCCATCGAGTCTTACAGAGCAGGTAGGAGCTGATCAGCTGGTCCGACTGGATCGTCCCCTCGAAGTGCTTCAGACCCAGAACGATCAGCCTGCACAGAGGCATGATGGGAAACGTTGTTATTGTACGATACATATGTATGTATACTCAGTGGTACTCCGTCAGGGCCTGCAAGGCCTTCTCTGCTGGCCTAAACAGAATCACAAAGTTATATCTATTTTATAATCTAATAATTTTTCTTAAATACACTACATGTAAATACACTACACTTTTAACTAATTTCCCCCTGGGGATAAATGAAGTTTATATCTATCAGAACAGGTGTGGCAGTAATCAGGCCTGGGTGTGGCTAGAGAAATTGAACTCAGCTTTCCAAAGATGTGATAAACCACAGTTACTTTATGTTTTAACAGGGGGGGGGCAATCACTTTTTCACACAGGGCCATGTAGGTTTGGATTTTTTTCCCCCTTAATAATAAAAACCTTCATTTAAAAACTGCATTTTGTGTTTACTTGTGTTATCTTTGTCTAATATTTAAATTTGTTTGATGATCTGAAACATTTAAGTGTGACAAACATGCAAAAAAATAAGAAATCAGGAAGGGGGCAAACACTTTTTCACACAACTGTACATATGTGTGTACTTTGTGTTTTAGTGTACGTGTAGTGTACCCGTCTTCTCCTGCAGTGTAAACACTCCGGTGGTGTCGGGGGTGGATGGCGGGGTCCAGGCTGCAGACAGGAAGTAGTTCTGGGTACAGGAAGACGGAACGGGTGGCAAGCAGCCAGGCGGCGTCAGTGGGCAGCAGAGGGAAGGCGAGGCCTAAACAAAGCCAGAACCACAACTAGAACTAGAACCAGAACAAGCTGCTGGAACAACCAAACCTTATCAGAAAAATAAGATTTCCCTCCTTACTGTTGGTAGCAGGCATCATCCTGGGGAGCCAGCGTCTGGAGGTAGCAGGAGGAGCAGAGACAGGAGGAGGAGGAGGAGGCTGCGCTCCCTGCTCCACTTCCTGAAGGAGATCCAGTGCACCCTGCAGGTTACCCACTCTGAAACTGCTCAGGAGGAAAACCTCCTCCCGACGGCTGGCAAACTGCTGCAGCTCCTCCTGGAGGGACAAGAGGTGTTAGTGGTTACTAACCAGGCAGTGTTTGTGTTTACTAACCAGGTAGTGTTTGTGGTTACTAACCAGGCAGTGTTTGTGGTTACTAACCAGGTAGTGTTTGTGGTTACTAACCAGGCAGTGTTTGTGGTTACTAACCAGGCAGTGTTTGTGGTTACTAACCAGGCAGTGTTTGTGTTTACTAACCAGGCAGTGTTTGTGTTTACTAACCAGATAGTGGTTACTAACCAAGTAGTGTTTGTGTTTACTAACCAGGTAGTGTTAACTAACCAGGTAGTGTTAGTGGTTACTAACCAAGTAGTGTTTGTGTTTACTAACCAGGTAGTGTTTGTGTTTACTAACCAGGTAGTGTTTGTGTTTACTAACCAGATAGTGGTTACTAACCAAGTAGTGTTTGTGTTTACTAACCAGGTAGTGTTTGTGTTTACTAACCAGATAGTGTTTACTAACCAGATAGTGTTTACTAACCAGGTAGTGTTTGTGTTTACTAACCAGGTAGTGTTAACTAACCAGATAGTGTTAACTAACCAAGTAGTGTTTGTGTTTACTAACCAGATAGTGTTTGTGTTAACTAACCAAGTAGTGTTAACTAACCAAGTAGTGTTTGTGTTTACTAACCAGGTAGTGTTTGTGTTTACTAACCAAGTAGTGTTTGTGTTTACTAACCAAGTAGTGTTTGTGTTTACTAACCAGGTAGTGTTTGTGTTTACTAACCAAGTAGTGTTTGTGTTTACTAACCAGATAGTGTTTGTGTTTACTAACCAAGTAGTGTTTGTGTTTACTAACCAAGTAGTGTTTGTGTTTACTAACCAAGTAGTGTTAGTGGTCACTAACCAAGTAGTGTTTGTGTTTACTAACCAGGTAGTGTTTGTGTTTACTAACCAGGCAGTGTTTGTGGTTACTAACCAGATAGTGTTTGTGTTTACTAACCAAGTAGTGTTAGTGGTCACTAACCAAGTAGTGTTTGTGTTTACTAACCAGGTAGTGTTTGTGGTTACTAACCAGGTAGTGTTTGTGTTTACTGACCAGGGCCCCGTTCCTCGTACGTGGTTCAACTAAGTCGATCAAATGTCCTGTTAGCAGCCTAAATTAAGGAGATGATTGAAGTCAGGCTATCTGGGTTTCTCCATGGCTGATCCTCTCAAACAGTCTCGTTAATTGGACCCAGACGATCAGGATCAGGATAATTGCGTGTGCCCGTCCTGCTTCAAAAGGGGGAAGCGTCGATCACCGAAACCATGATTTTCTAACAGCACAATGTTAAATAAAGTCAAAGAAAGAGCCTCTTTTTACTCCGCTGACGAGCAGGAGATGATCATGAACGCATATGAGGAATTCAAGACCATAATCACGGCTAAATATAACACCTCCACCGCTGCGAGGGCTAGACAAGAAGCACGCAAAATATCACAGACACGTTAAATGCGTAAGTGTTGTAAATGTATCGGCTCATTTTAATGCCTCATCACCCCAATCAATCAGATGATATGTCTTTAAATGAGCTGCTGGCAGTAGGCTTAATGAATGCATCATCCAATGAGATCTATAGCGACAATAATGATCTCAACTCTTTCACAATAAGATAAAAACAAGCCCAAAGAGCATCTACTGATCCTCATTAATATGAGGATATATGTACTGTATGCCCTCATGTATCATGTACTATATATGTGTATATACATGTATGTGTAGATCACCATATAGAACTAGTTTGAATCTGTGTGTGAATCTGTGTGTGGGCGGATCAGTGTGTGTGTGTGTGTAATTCATCATCAGACATTCAATCAACTGAAGCAGTGAAGATAAATAGTGTGTGATTCTCTCTGTTCTTATCATGAGTCCACCTTCATCATGTTCTACAGTAATGATATGCTGGTGTACTAATAACACTGTCATATCATTATGAGTGCTTTAACCCTCATGTATGCAACGCAGCCATCAAGAGGACATGGGAGCAAGTAAACACTAACACACACACATTACTCAGAATGCTGAGTCAGTACAATATGTGCCATGGTGATGTAATGAACACATCCATAAGTTTATTAAGCGCCTAATAAACTTTACCAACAGCACGGCATGCAGCGGCTTTCCCCATGTTCTCCGCATCGCCGACACTGTACAACAATGTACCACTCGCAGAACAGCTCAAGGCTGCATCCAGTGTGTGAGACATCAGTGCTCGGCTGCAGCGTGTGGTGTTCAATGTATGCTCCAGAAGGTCTGTAAATAAATGATTCCTTGTGGGCAGAATGGATAGCGCTCGTATAGGAAGTCATCGTGATGTGATAACGGATCTTGGCGATGTGGAAGAACTCTCTCCCTATA